TGCGTTCCTCCCCCACAATATTGATGTTTATTACATTGTATAATCATGAGCACGTTCAAATAAATAAATGGACATAACATGTTTTAAACGCTTTAAGTTAACAGTACTACTGTATAATAATAATTATTCATAAGTAGAACTGATTCATTCGTCTTGGGTGACCGAGTTGGTGAGGAAAACCGTTTCAGGGCTTCGGCCCGAAGGCTCACGGGTTCGAGTGCCGCCTTGGGCATGTTTGTTTGTCCCTTGTCTCTCATATATGTGTTGTCGCGGAGGCACTCGCGTCCTACTGACCCCAGATCAGGGAAGCCCGCTAGGGTGTTGGTGTCTAGAGTGTGATCGAATATGCGTCTCATTGTGACTTAGAAGGTAACTGGTTGGATAAAAGACCTAGAAAAAAAGAAATTATTCAAATGAAACATCGAAGGCCGAATTGTGCGAGGGAATCTCCCTTTTAACAGCCGCATGTGTGGACAGAGCTAACAAAAGAAAATGCTGCGCTTGCAACGTTACAGAAAACATTGTCATTTCGATTAATAGTGTTTAAATTTTAGCCACTAGTAATTTGTTGTTGGCCGTCAGCAAAGAAGACTAATGATAATACAACGAACGTTTAAAATACTTTTTTCACGGTTATTAGTGTGCATTAATTTTTGTATCCCCTTACATCGAAAATAGATTCCATCTTATACCCATCTTAAGGACGATAAATAATAGAAAGAAGAAGGAAAGAAGAAAACACGTGCCGAATAGCGAACTGTCGCCAAAGCCAACGGCGAACTGGCAAAAAAAAGGTGAAGTGTGGAGGACAGGGCGTCAGGGGAGAATAGAAGGCATCCAAAGCCGGCCGAAGACGCGTGTAACACGGAGACGACAAGGGGCAACAAGAGACGTGAAATAAAAAAGGACAAAGGGCGACGGTGTACTGCGAGCTAACGGGGAGCTTCAGACGTCGCGAGAAAAAGATCAGGGCGACGAAGGGCGCCAGGAACAGCGCCAACTGCACCAGCGGCGGGATTTGGCCAAGACAAGCGACACGACGTCGTCCTTGTGAGTCCCTATGCGCATGTGTGTGTGCGAGAGGAAGAGAGGGAGAGAGAGAGAGAGAGAGAGAGAGAGAGAGAGCTGGAAGTGCTACAAAAGCTGCGTGGGCGGCAAGCGCCCCGGCGATGTTGGGCGAACTGGAGATTCCAAAGATAGCGGTGACTATGGCGGGGGCGGAGGTGGCATCGGAGATGCGGTCGGACGGGCGAGGG